AATTGGGGCAATTACTTTATGAACACAGTTTATGTATGGGGTTCTGAAAATAGCTAGTGGTAATGGTTGCACAACACTGTCAGTGTTAAAAAAAAATGCCAAATAATTACACACTTAAAAGACAAATTTTTCATAAAGATAGACAGATGTGTAGGACTGGAATCCAGTTTGGAAGTTGTCTGTAGTAGCTGGATTCTACAGAGGCTTGTTTGCTGGTTCTGGTGAGGATTAGGGTGGACTGTTGATTTGCTAATGGGTGTGAGATGATGTGATTCAGCCTCCTATTTAAAAACACATTTGGTCAGCAGTAAGGGGCTGGAATCCAGTTTAGAAGTCATCTTCAGTAGCCAGAAACCCCGGAGGTTTTTCTGCTGGTTCTGGTGAGAATTAGGGCAAAATGTTGACTCGCTAATGAGATGATGTGATTCAACCTCCTATTAAAAATGCGTTTGGGATCTCGGGCCTGCGGCTCTCAGGCTTGATTTTAATTGTTTTTGGTCAAACATTCTTCTAAGCGGTATAGCACTGGTCTGTCAATTTGCTGTACAGAGGTAACTTGTGGTTGCTGTGATACTGAACACTGTGACATTGATGTGTCAAATGTGATAATGGTTACCCATGGAGGACAGTGTTTGGTGGAGCATACCAATTAAAACAAGCTTGGAAGCAGGAGTGGCATCCACTTCTGATATTGCTTGCCTCTGGAAACTCTATGAATGTTGAGGAACAACAAAAGTTAAAAAGTGTTTGGTTCATTCATTCATAGAGTTGCTATGAGTCATCTGTATGACTTGACGACACTTAACAACAACATATAGATGTGTGTGTGCACATGTGTGCGCACAAATACTGTATACACACATACATACAAAAGTTTCTAAAGTAGGACAAAGTACCACATACCAAAAAATTTGCTCATAGTAAGTGTAAAGTAGTATCAGCTAACTGCATAAAATTGCTGAAGAGACTCTCAAGTAATATTTAAGGAAATGACTAATAAGATAAATGATTCATTTTCTTATCAAACAAACCACTGTAATCTTAGCATAGAATTACTGAATAATTGAAAACAATGCAGTGGAGTCCTTTCCGATTTACTCAGTGAGAGAAATAAAAGAGAATCAGTAGAAGTAATCTCTTTGTGCTTTCTAAACCTTATAACAGTTCATCTATTTAAAGGTAAATCTATAAATATTAGATATTGTTAGTCTGGTCACTGGCAGCAAACAGAGTTACAATTGGAAACATGCAACAAAATAAGGGAAAGGGTCATTTCCTAATTCTTAATAATGTCTGTAGGTGATGAGTTGTGCAAAGAATTGTCATTGATGACAGTTGCAAAAGAAGATAAAATAACACAAACTCCTTTTATGGAAAGATAATTTAGAAATTGTAAATTCTGATGCAAGTACCATGAATGGAGAATAATAGAAACATTTCACAGAGTGATCACAAAGATGGCCTCTGGGTCAGAACACAGGGTTGGAACCTCTGCTCACCCACTCGGTAGGTGCATAATTCAGGCAGATTATATAACAGCTCTGAGTCTTAATTTTCACCATAATAGTGCTTATTAGTAGAGTTTTGAGAAGAACTTAATAAGATAAATGATATAAAACAACTAAAGCATTAAGGGAATGTTGGCTATCATGATCATTATTATTGTTGCTCTAAATAAATAAAGGAAATATTCATGGCCAACTATCAAAAAATAAGATAGACAACTAATATAGGAAGGAGGCTGAAACTGTAGCAGAAAATGATCTATCTCCCTGTAGCATTTACAGAAGCAAAACTCTAGATAGTTATACTACAAGTCTGATCCTATATTGCCATGTCTATATTCTTTTTGTCCATATAAGTGGAGGCCTGCTCATAGAAAAACAGGAAACTCATGCAATATTATTCAAAATGGGTGATCCTGGAGGACATTATGCTGAGTGAAAAATCTCAGTCACAAAGGGACAAATACTGCATGGTGCCACTGTTGTAGAATGGGTCTGACATCAGGGTTGGGGTAAGACTGAGAAAAAACTGGATAAATTATGTATACTGTACTGAAACAGATGAGGGAAAGAACAGATTAGAGGTGATATATGATTGAGTATTATGGTTATCACAGGAGTCCAGAATTAAGGTTGCATACAGAAGTGTACTTTGTGCGGGGGGTGGGGGGGAAGGGATGGGTTAATTGTATACCAGTGAAGGAATTTTTATTTTCTTTTTCTTTTCAAAGAGAGGAGCACACTGGTGGGGAAGGGTGGGCAGGAAGAAAAGTGCAGCAATGAATGAATGGAAAACCAAAATCTCTGTAAATGTTTGTTAAAATTAATAATAAAAAAATAAATGGAGGCCTAACATACATATAATGTGCAGATCTTAGTTCAGTAAATTGTTACGTGTATAAATACCTGTGTAACTAGAAGTCAGATAAAATTTAGCACAGTTTAAAAAGAAAAGAAAAATAGCATATTTTCAACATCCTGTGCAATTCCTGTATGCCATTTCTCTTTAGTACGGCCCCAAAAAGTAATCACTATTTATACACCTGGCACCATAGATAAATTGTCTATTCCTGAAAATGAATGTTCGTTTCTGAATGAATGTCCTTTTCTGGTCCAAAAAGGGAAGAAGAGCAGGATAAGGATAATCAAGAAGAACATTTTACTAATTATATATTTTGCTTATGTCTCCAAATAAGATCGTCTTCGCAAAGGCCCATTACAAACATGATCGCCGTAATAGCATGCTGGTAATCACCAGTTAGAAAGCTCAGATTCTTCCATAGCAGTGTTCCCGAGGGTGATACCTTTATCGGCCCAGCTAGCTACAGATGAGGCCTAGAAATCAAGAAAGAGGATTTGCAAGACATTTCTCCTTCCCAAGCCCATCTGAAAAGCTTTTCACCTTAGGAGATAAAGGCTGTCTGAGATTGGTGATTTATGAAATAAGGTTCTAAAGTAACAAACTGATTTCATCTGGTTTCTTTATACTTTTGTGTGTATTCACTTTCTGTCTCTGGTACTAGAAGTATGGGGAGAGCAAAGGCGGGAGCTGGGAGGGGTAGAGTAGACAGATTTACTTACCCATACTGAAAGCTGAGTGACATAGCCTGTTAGGATATTTGTAGTACCTTTATGTCTTTATCTTTATGCAGGTTACTACTTTGGGATTGCGATGACCGAAGCTACAGTTACTACGTTGAGGTTTCTACCAACCAGCAACAGTGGACCATGGTGGCTGACAGAACTAAAGTCACCTGCAAGTAAGTTACTTTCTTTAAAAAAATGTATAACTGTTGAGAAGATAAAGTTTACTTATGAATTCAGAAGGTTTCAATGAATATTCACAGAATCTTCACATTACATTCTTATTTGGAGGTTGAAAAAAAATATTCTTAGAAGCCTGTTTTCTGTTTGAATGTTGTTGTTATGTACATTGAGTCGAAACAGACTCATAGCTGACCTTCCAGCAGAGCAGATGGTGGACTCAAACTATGTTCTTTTGGGCTGACAGCACAACTCCTTACAAGTAAGTACTTAAATAAGAAGCCACTTTCTTTGACCAAACAAGTTTTTTCTGTCTTGTGGTTTGAACTTGACTCTCACTTGTCGAAATAGCATATGTACCTAAGCAGAAAAAGAAAGATGCTTAACTTATAAAAGTCTGTGCCCACCCACACACACCACGTTATTCCTGCTAGGAGTTTTAACTCCTTGGAGAGAGGTTTGCTGAAGTGATACACACTTTAGTAGCTATTCTAGGATTCCGTTCTGCTCCTGACTCTCACATCATTATCAGGGCTATCTTTAAATATTCATCTTATTTCAGTGTTAGCCAATCTGTTATCTGAACTAGGAAGATATCATGTACTTAGGTTATCCACAGACAATCAAGGATAGTTAACCCATATGGCACCTGGCTTACATAATTGCAAGGAAAGCTTAGTGGGAGGATTCTGTGGATGGTGTGTTCTGACCAACCTAGAAGGCTAGGACATGAAAAGAGTTCAGTATCTTTCTAAACAGAGCTAGATTCTAAAGGAAGCAAGAGTATAGCAAAAGGTATTATTTGTTAGTAGCATTAATGGTGGCTTATTTGAGGCAGTGTCTGACACTATCATTAAAGCAAACGTCTAGATATTATGATAATATGGTAATTTTATTTAAAAAGCTCTTAACCATTTTTGTAGTTGGGTACTTAATATATGCTCTTGTTGTGTACTAGTGAGTTAGAATTGACTCATAGCTGACCCTCCAGTGGATTCTGAGAGGCTGTAAGTAAATTGTATGGTAGAAGATTGCCCATCTTTTTTTCTGTTGAGTAGCTGGTAGATTCAAACCACTTGCCTTAGGGATGGCAGTGCAGCTTCTTACCTCTAGGCCAATAGAGTTCCCCAGTTATTATACAGCATGTTTATATTAAGGTGATTTTTACTGCTGTAAGCTCCAACATGTCAATGGCTAAGCAAAGTAAATAATTTCTTAATCCAGCAAAGGGGTTCCTAGATGTTAAGTAGCTCTTCTTAAAAAAATTCTCGAAGAACCCAACCATCTTCTCTTTTGTAGTTCCTGCCATCCCCTCAGGCCTCTTCCTAATACACCTCCCTGGCTCAGCAGACAGAAGACATGTTTGTTACTGCAGGGGCTTAGCCTTTAGTGGTGATGCACTTCTCTTCTCCTTATATTCCTCTGAAAAGAGCAAGTCATAGTGCCACACTTAGGTGCTTGCAGGGCTGAGAACCCTTGTCAGACTCTGACTAGGCAGCCATTATTATTCATTAGCTAGGGGAAGAGAAATGTGGTGATCTGAGGCACAGTATATAAGGCAACTAATAATTACATAGTAACTAGCATGACAGAACTTGCACGCATTTTATTTCATTTTCTCCTAAAAAAATAAACAAACACAACTCTTTGTGGATATTATTTTCTTTTTATAAAATAGAAAATGAAGCTTAAAGAAACTTAAAGGAGAGAGCCATGATTTGAACCTAGTGTTCTCACCATTGAACCGCACTGTTTCTTATCACCTAAAGCATTCCAGAAGTAGTGAGACCAAGCTCGATAACCAAAAGGGGGAATGGAGAAGTTAACATTTGTAAGCTTCTAAAACCATTTTTATGTAATAGGAAGTCAGGAAAGGCCCATGAACAATTACTGATTTTGTCTTTCTAGTGTAATTCTTACTGGGTTTCTGTTCAAAGATCTTGTGCTTCCTCTGAGCTCACAGCTATCACAAGTCTTTTTTCCTTCCTTACCACCTGTCCATCTATTGTCTCTTCAGAAGTGTAGATTAGGTTGCAAACTCTTCATGGGAAAGAGCTGATCTTCATCTCATCCCTGTGGGAGATGATATATATAATGTGGGTTTTTAACAAGAACTGGTTGACCAAGTAACTGTTGACCATATACGTGTAATAATGATTTTGTACTCAAATAGATTTCTTCTTGATTCAAAAGCCTATCTGCTTATTTGAGTTAAATCCCCCCCCAGTAGCTTTGCATTAAGTCATTAACACCTCCCACCACCCCCTTGGTTTTTTATTTTTGTATCCCTTCTTTGGCAAATGTAAATAATTTATATGTTTAGAGCTTTGTATTTTAGCACTTAGAAGCTACCACAGTAAGTGCTTTACAAATTAATAAATAAATAATACATCAGAAGAACAAGGGTAATAACAAGAAAGCAAGTGCTTGTTAACCCTCTAAGAATCAAAGGGACCAAAGGCTACGATTTCATGTGTAAAAGCATAGCCTGAATCTATTGTGCATCTCATCTTCTAGATAGGTCTTGAGATATGATGGAAGATATGCACATAATAAAAAGAAAGCTTTTCCTTTTAACTTTGAATACCCCACAACAGACCTCAAGAGAGGCTTCTTTTAGCTTCAAGAATTTGAGCCTGTGTTTTATTTAAATAAAATGTATGAGTTACGTTATAAATGCAATTAGATAGGATCTTTAAACATCACAGTACTGCCTCTTGATAGCATTCTTGGTAACCAAGAAATCAGAGTACAGATTTTTGCTTTCTTTTGAAAAATCTCTAGGGAATAAGATTTTCTGCTCTCGCCTTAAGTCTTTGCTCCAGGGCTGGCTGTTTTCCCTTTCTATGGGTTTTAAATCCTTTCTAATACATTGGGAACATTTCCTTTTCTCTTCAGGGAGAAAAATAATTTTCATTATAAATAATTTTATTTTTATG